GATCAATTTTCGCAAGAACCCCAAAGACATGCCCTGCGGGCATGATCAAGGCACCCCAACCTTGACACAACCAGCTGAAATCCCCGAAGCTTACGGTTTCTAGCCTTAACGGGCAAGCGTCTAAAAATAATATCCCGAATTTCAGACCCAAAAGCCCGAAACTCTGGCAAGCTGCCTTCGCCATCATCCATTCGGCGAACGAAGGGATGTGGCCAGCGCGCTCAAACAGCGTGCTGACCAGACCTGAATTTTGCGCTTCCTTTGCATCCGACGAATGCCACGTTACTCTTGAATTTGCTGGCGGGTTCTTGGCGTAAGACAAGCCGTTTGGTGTCATTCGGCTAAAGAGAATTCGGGCGGAATCTCCGAAGCATCTAAATCCGCTCTACCGTCCCGATAGCCAGCTCCCTTCAAAGCCTCACAAAGTCCCAGCCCCACAATCTGAAAACCCTTAACACCCTCAAACGCCCCAAACCCTTTGAAATCCTAAGGCGGTCTGCGTGGTGGCATCGGGACCGGAGCGCGGCTACAGTTCCGGAGTTTCCGAGAGTTCAAGAGCTCTAGGGTGCGTGGATGGTGCCGGGTCGAAACCTGCGATGTCTTGGGATGCTCTTCTGCCTCTTATGGCCAGTTGGGTTCATGAATCTGCAACGTGGGCGCTTATCGCTAGTATTGCTATGCTGATCGGCCTGTTCTTGTCTGATTACCAAGACGAGTTTGTTGTGATTGTTGACACTTCCACTAGTCACAACGGTGCCGTCTACGATGTAGACTCAAAACGATCGCTGGGCCAGTACTGACCTCCGGCTGATGATGAACATTAACGGCTCCCTGTGTTGTCACGTGAGCCGGCTGAATAGAAGCACAATTTCCAAGACAGGTGCTGTCACCTCAATCAGCCTTTGCCCTGTGCTGATCTGTGCTGCAACCCGCAAGCCTGGGCTTTTTCGGACGCTTAAGAGGCACTGATAATCAAGACAGTACATCTAAATCCCTAAACTCGAAGACCGTGCGAGCAGGCTAGATTGATCCGCAAGCCCCTACCCCTACGTCCTAAACCGTGATAGCTTGCTGTAAACCTGAGCCCCCTGATCCGCAAAGTCTAAGACCCGCCTTCCACACACCTTAGCTGGCGAACCAGGCGCGGGCAGCGCTGTGGGCCGCAAAGACTTAAGAGGAGCAGCCCACAGCGCTCCACAAGATCTAAACACTACCAGAGACTCAGAAACTTGAGATCCAAACTCTGAACCTGAGCCCGGAAAGCTGCAAGGATCTCCCACCTGTAAGGTCCAAGGGCGGCCCACGGCCAGGGCTACGGCCTTTGCGTTTCAAGGGCTCCGAAGGGGTCTCGCTTTGGAAGAGTCCGCACAGAGGCCTGTCAAAGTTGAAAGGCCTTACCTTGTGAGCTTCGGGTTCGATGCCGAATCCAAGCAGACTTGGCGTTGTAAATGCATGTGTATGCTTGCACAGCTATATCATTTACCTATATATGAGTACTGTCAGTAGATCATAGTCTAATATACATTATATATAGTTATACCATCGCAAACATATTACAACAGCGCATCACCCCAGGAGGCGCCTGGTGTCATGCAGAGTGATGTCTTTAAGAAGCGGGGGCTTACCGGGTTCAGGCATATGTTAGACGTATCCTTGTACTAGCAATCTTTGGCAAAACGTTCTTAGTGTCACCGTGCAAGCCCTCGAAGTGGGGTTCCCAATGCCGCCCACACTGTAAAACCCAGATGTTGTTACGGAATCATGACATCGTTCTTCAAAACGTTTGCACAGTTGTTCAACGACCCCGCCGGGTTTTGCAGGGTGGAGGTGACAGGGTTTGGGGTTGGGGGAGCGTGGGCACATGCGCTAAATAGAATTGGGATTTTGAGGATAAGCGACACATGCTTCGGGTTGGTGCGCCTGAAGTGCATGGGATTGGATTTAGGCTTCCGAAGCTTGCGGTCTGAAGGTTCTGGCTGAGCCACTTCCACCATCACCCAACGTTGCTGGTGATGGGAGCTGCAACAAATGGGCAAAGAGCTCTTGAACAAGCACAGTTGTGGGGCATGCACGGTGGCAACACCGTTTGGAGGCAGAGGCGACTCTGTGTCTGATCGTGGAAGACACCGTGAATCTCTGCGTAAAGGGTAAGTTTCGATGTCCACACCACTCCGCAGCTAAGGACTGTGAGGTCATGCCGGGTCTGGATCTCAACCCCTCCGGCACCCAACTTGAGTGTTTCGCAAATGCCACACAGCCTCCGTCCTGATCTCGTAATGCCCTAACCCGCTGCAATCCCCAAAGCGTGATACCCTAAACGCTGAACCATCAAGCCCTAAACCCCAAATACCTGAAACTCGGAACATCTTAAACTTATGTTATAAACTTAACCCTACACAAATGCCTGAAGTCCTAAATACCCCAGATCCGCAAAATACCAAAAAACTATCCTAAACCCTGAATACCTGAAAACCTCAGTATTCTAAGCCCCTCTGAGTCCCCCACCGACGGCTGGCTGGTCTGCCTCCGGCTTCTAGCACTTGCACTTCCAGCGTCTGGTTCAAGGTCTAGTTTAAGGTCTCGGGCGGTTGCGTTGTGGCGGATGGTTTCGGTTCTTGGGGCCTGCGGCCAAAGGCACGGTTTCAATGGGGGATTCTCGGGTTTACAGCTCTCGTAAACTGCACCATCACACTCTGTCTGCAGTCTGCGTCTTTATGCTGGGACCCTACACACAAACTCCCTTAGCCCGAAGCTCTGTTCCCATCCGGGGTAAGGGCTTTGAAAAAACATGGCTTAGCCGACTTAGCCACCTCCATGTGCACAGCCGTCTCGCTGTCGAGCGCAGGGGCGCTTTGAACCTGCAGGTATGCCAGCGCAGAGGAGTGACATGGACAGTTGCTTGAGTGTGTCCTTAAGCAGCCCTGCGCAAGAAAACCAGAAAGTATAACAACCAATAAAGCTAGCAGTTTATCCATCTAGCTCTACTTTCTAAACCTCATACCGAAGGCAGCTACCCAAACCAAATAAGCCGTACACTAAGCTCTCTTCACTCTTCTCCCCTCCTCAAGGTCTGCAGCGGGCACCAGGATGTTCGGTGCGGCGTCACGTGGCGTTGACTCCAGAGCCACCTCCTGCACTTCCGCTTGGGTGTTCAGGCTGTGCAGTCGGAGTCCGGGTTTCAGGGTTTAGGGCTTTCGATGGTTTAGGGTTAGGGGCAATGCCCGCACCCTGAACCCACAGCCCGAAACCCTAAACCCTTAACCCGGAACCCTCCTTGAGTTCCACAGTCGGAGGCGTCGCAGTCGTCAGCTCGGCGCAGGTCTCGGCGACCTCACCGGTCACCTCCAGGGTTCCAAGAGATCTGGGGTTGGGGTTTGGGGAGAGAAGGTCTTTTGTCTTCAGGGCTTAGGGAGTTTGGGGTTTAGGGAGTTGAGTCAGGGTTCAGGGTCTCTCAGGCTGGGTGCCATGTAACGCTGCCTCCTGCATCTCCGTCTCCGGCTTTGCCTCGTCCGCTTTGGCCGAAGCCCGACCCACCCCGGCCACCTGCGGGTTTAAGGCTTAGGGCCTAGGGCCTAGGGGTTGGATGGGCAACAAGCGGCCCTGCAGGCTGAGCTCAAGCTGGTGATCTGAACTTTCCAGGACAGGCGATTCAATCTCAGACCACACAGTGTGTAAGGACATTCACTGTTCGTGCCACTCACCAACTCTGCTCTGTTCTGTTCTCCGGGGCTATGGCGCGCCCCTGTGTTAGGGGCTTTGTAGGGGCCTTCAAGAAGATACGGATTCTCACCAACTCTCTCTCTCTCTCTCTCTCCCTCTCCCTCCCTTCCCCCCCCACACACACACACACACACACATCTGCGTGCTCAGACTTTCGATTTGACCCTGTCTATGCCGCGAACTGAACCACAACAACCCGATATAGCGACAAACCCCAGAGATGAAAAAGCAATTATAGTTCCAATTGCATCCGAAAGACTCGCGTTGCGGATCAATCTAACATTGCAAGTGCGACAACAACAACAACAACCATGACATGGCAGCTCTGGTCCAATTCGTTTCTATTCATCGCTCCGTGTACATCGATCATAATCATGATTAATGCCCCTTACGCTTCAGAATGATTGTGCACCTAGCCCCTCACCAGCACCATCGTTGAGGGTCCAAGGATTCGCCTGCCAACTTAACCACAGCAGACACAACTCGAACGCTGCCTTGTTCAGAAGCAGCGCCGGAAGGTTCTGGGACCCCTGGGAGCTTTTGTCCTGCGACGCGGCACCGCGGCGAAGGCGCAGCTGGCAAAGCACCAGCATCATCCCCCCGAGGAGCAGTACGACTTTGAAAGCCTCTAAAATAGGTCTAACACACGGGCCCTGGTTTGTTCAGGCAATTCGTATGACTTCGAGTGGCATCCGTAAGCGAGTCTGATGTAGCAATACCGTTGCATGTCACAGTGTATGCATGTGCCAGACATGCCGCCTCGCTCAAGCATACGGCTATCAATCCGGGCAGCCTGAGACGTCGCGGTCTCGCTGGCAACTTCACCGGCTGTGCCGCTGCTAAATGTGGCCTCGGACTCCAACGATGGCACATTCGGAAACCAAACTGGCAACTCGCAAAAACAAGTCTTACAGCCCCTTTTTTGCAGCCCTCGACTAATTGGTGCAAAGGGCCACCGGCGTCGTTGTCTCGCTGCTGGTCATGCTACTGCGGCTTTGGTTCCCCACAATCTCTGTCGATTGGCTGCTCCCATTAAATGTTGTTTGTTCTGCGAATCTCCTTGAGGAATCCTCACGAACTCGTATCGCGTATGTACATTGCTGCAGGTGTTGACGCGTTGACTTTCAGACCTTCCAAATCGAACTTCCAGGTGCCCCGCTTCTGCAAGCCCAGACTCGGACCTAGCCGCAGGGAGATGCTGCAAAAGGCTCGACCCTCTACCCACTTTAGCTGATGCTGGCATTGCAGATTGTGCCGATCACCCACGAGCCCTAGCTGGCTGTTTCAGAATCACCTGCCCCATTTTCCTTCTGTCGGTCAGCATGCCGGTGCAACCCTGTACGTGAATCGGTCGCATCCCTGCCCCACAAGCTGAGCAGCCGACACTGCACTCTGCATGGGGCCAGTGCCGCTGCCATGCTCCAGCGCCTGCAGCATTTGACATGATGTGCTGTCCTGGCAAGCTGCTCATCATGTCCGGATTCGCAGGAATTGCAGCTACAGCTCAAGCAGTACTCCGCACTCTGCTGTGGGAATTCCAGGGCCAGCACGCATGGATCCACGATGAAGTCCGTGATCTGCGTGGCTGCGGCCTTGCAGACTCAGTGGAACACAAACCCAATCAGTTCCATCATGGATAAATTTAGAAAGCGACAACAAGAACATCTCGCGAGTTGCTTCCACCACCCACGCTACAAAGAATTACACATCAATTGCTGCCTTGGCGGCAGGGAGCTTGGCTGCGGCCACGGCAGCTTCTCGCTCCTTCCCATTCTGTGACGCGTTGCCATCATCCTTGGCCGCTTAGGGACTTTCGGTTGCAAAGGTTGGGTTGTTGGGCTTGGGATTCCAAGTTCTGCAGCTCAAACGAAGACAGAGAAAGTTAAGAGCCCCTACACACGGTATGGGATTAAAGGCCATAGGGATACCAGCCCTGCATTTCCTTTTTACGTCCCCATTCAGACACAATAAACGTTCGACACCGCTCTGCTGCCACCCCAAATCGCAGAACTCGAGAATCGCGGGTCTACGCGGAATATAACTGAAATTCGCTCAATCGCGAAACGAAAGTTTCTGCAGGAACTTATTTAATGTTTCGCGGCAGCCCATGTTAATTCACCGGATTGGAAACTCTCTTCTTGGTCGTGCGCCTTTTTAGTTTTATATCTGCGATACAGGAACCCAAACCCTCTTCGACCACCGTGCCGCAAGCCCTGAACCTTCAGCCCTACTCAGCAGGAAGTCGGTCTGATGTATGTCAACCTGCACGCCTGGTTGAGTCTAGGGTTGCGGGTTTACTGTTTCCACACTGCCTTTGGGTTTGAGGTTGAGGCTTTGGGAGCCAACCATATCCATCAAAAACAAAGCCTGAAACCTGACAACCCTCATCCCGCAGCCACAGCGCCGAAGTGCATAGGCGACCTTAGCGCTTCAAGCACTCTACCACCAAGCAAGCTCGCGAATACTAACTGTTTAGTCTAGTGCCCTTCAGTTGTTGCGGTGAGTGTGCTCAGGTGAAAGACTTACAGTCATGTGGCAGTTGCAAAAGTAGCAGCAGTAGCAGTAGTAGTCGCAGTCGCAGTCGCAGTCGCAGTCACAGTCGCAGTCGCAGTCGCAGTCGGAGTAGGAGTAGACGTCCGAGTAGGAGCAGGAGCAGCAGGGAGGTGACAGGCATCCTCAAGAATCACACTTTGAAAGGGGAGTCGTGACGAGAGATCTGCGCGGAGGTTACGCACGAAAACCATCAGAGTATGTACGATGATCATCAGCATCATCAACATCATCATCCTCACAACCACCAAAAGGGTTATCACCAGCATCATCACCAGCTCCCTCATTATCGTCACCATCACCACCAGTATCACAAGCATTGTCGCCAGCACCATCACCAGCGCTCCAGCATCAGCGTCGTCATTATCATCATCATCATCGTCATCATCGTCATCATCACCACCATCACCAACACCATCACAATCATCATCACCATCATCATCATCATCACCATCATCATCACCATCCTCGACATTATCAACATCATCAGCATCACCATCATCACCGTTATCGCCATCGCCGTCGTCAGTATCATCATCGTCATCATCATTATCACCATCACCAGAATCACGAGCATTATGACCAGTACCATCATCATTATCATCGTCATCATCATCACCATCATCATCATCATCACAATCAGCAGCAGGAGCAGCGACGTCAACTCCATCACCATCGGTTTGAAGCATCCCTCCAGAAAGACCCCTCCCGCAGCAACTTGGCACCCAGGCGGGTCTTGTGCGCCGTCGGGGCATCTTCGGTGAGCTGAGGCCGCCCTGCCAAACAGAAAGCTTTAGGGGTTTAGGGTTTAGGGTTTAGGGTTCCGGGTTTGTGGCCTTAGGATTCCGTTTTTTTTAAAGGTCTGGGGGATGCAAGAGCTGTCTCTCCTGAAGAGGTGCTCTTTTCTGGCACAGGCGTCAGGAGCTATGGTATTCTAAAGAACCCTGACAGGCCGCTCTAAATATGCCTCCATGCGTGCCAATAAATACTGGATGCTGGCGGCTCCAACGCGAGAATGATATTTCTCGATGCATGGCCTTGGCAGATGGAGGACAACAATCTGCACTCTGTACCTCATGGCCTTAAGGTTGGTGACCAACGGTTGCTGAGCGACAAGAGCTGCAGTTCTTCACGAAGAGCGGCTGCGGCCACGACCCTCGTCGCAGTCGGCCGGGTAAGTCGACCGCAGCTCTGTGTATTCGGCTTGGTCCATGCAGGGTCCAATGCAGGGTGGGCTTCACTGTGTGGGGAATCCCATCCAGGGGATCCTGCCCTCCAGGATCAGCCCTATCGGACTCAGCCTCCTGCTGGACTTTGCTGCCCAAAACTGGTCCAGCCAATGCACATCCTCCGCTCCATGGCCTTGAACCATGTACTTTGTCATCGCCAACCACTCTTAATCTGAAATCTCCTCCCGCGCGGTCCCGCGCGCATCCTCGGCGATGCGAGGGCTTACTTCTTGCAGCTTGCCCATCAATTCGAACGATGTAAATACAAGTGGGTCCTTCTCGGCCCTCTTGACCCTACACCCCAAGTCCACCAAGAGTTCTTGTTTCGTCGCGCCCAGCCGGGCGGCCAGCTCCTACCCACAGATGGTCATGGCGGCGCTTGAGTCTCTGTCTGTGTGTGTGTGTGCCACTTCATGAGCTCATTGCATCTCATTGCAGCCTCTTCAGTCCGCGTCCGGCGCCAAAGAAAAGAGAACAGCAGCCGACACACACAATCTGAAGGAACCACGATAGTCTTGGTTATGGAGGAATGGAACTCAGAACATGAGCGCAATCGCTGAATTGCTACGCCGCTCACGATGTCGACACACCCCCTTTGCCCTCACCCTGTGACACAAGCCCAACAACCCGAGCCGGCGTTTCTGTCGCAGGGCTTTATCCAAGAGGAGAAGATAGAGCATTGCAATTGACTCCTAGTCTTGCGCGGTGATTTCGGGCCTCGCTTCGTGGGTGTTCTCGGCTCTTCTTCGGGAGGCGGGCTCAAACGCGCCGTTCCTTGCAGGCATCATGGGTCTCTGGCTTACATCACTTACATCCCAAATTGTGATCCGTAGTGCCAAAAGAAACTGATAGGGTTGCTATTATGGCTCGCATGGGCTATGAAAGCATGTCGGTTTCTACTTGCGGAAGTGCGGTGTGAACGTCCGATGACACGAACATTTCCCACCCTCTCCCCGGTTGATGGGAGGGCAAGGAACCATCCTTGCAGGGTCTGGGATTCGGGCGGAGTCTCGCGGCCCTGCTTACTCGCACTAGAAGAGAACTGCCTCCAAAGCAGCGACAGCAACATGCTCTTCAGAGAACGATGAAGCTGACACTTCGATCGAACCTATGCTCTGCCAGGAGCATCAACCCACAACAAAAAACTTCACAAACTAAGCTTCCTTTTCACACTCCTGCCACCCCCTAAGACCCCGAAGTCCCACAGCCCAGCTCAAGCCGATCACTTCTTGACAATTGCCCCACATCCCAGGCCCCTAGGCGCTAGGCCTCGCCATGCCAGTCACCCGGCATCTCTGGCAAAGCTGGTTAGAAAGAGCGCAGACGCCTAGCGGCCTAGCGACTTCGACCGAGCTCCTGGCGACCCCTCGCTGGGGTTCGACTGCGGGCCCGCCCTGGCATGCCGAAGTCAGAGAGCTCCTGCATGGGCTCGCTCCACCTTCATGTAAACCCCCCATCAACAATAAAAGCTTCTGTAACTCTTCAGCCCCTGTCAAGCTGCGGGCATCTTCGCGATGGTCAAGGTACGCAAGAAAAACCGCGGCACCGCAAACACCCCGGCCCCACCCAAGCGATCGTCCACAGCGTCCTGGGTGAGTCGCGCAATCTCGGAAGCCTTTTGGCAAACTGGTGTCGGGTTCGGGGTTGGAATACAAGAACTTCTTCCGACGCATGTCGTGCAATGCAATGCATTTCAATACACTGTTCTGTTCTGCGCTGTGGTGTAGCGTTCTGTTCTGCTACGTATGCGTGTAGACAATGCAATGCAATGAACGAACAGTTAAAAACACAATGCACATCGAAGTAATGTAATGTAGTGCAATGCAATGCCACGTAAAGTAGCTCAATGCGATGCATGTGTGGATGGCTCTTCTGGCAATTCTGTGTGTGTCTGTAGTACATTACATTATTTATATATATATATATACAATACACACAAGAGAGAGACTTACATGCATGTACTGTTCCGGCCGTATATATATATATATATATATGCAGACACGTATGTAGTATACTTATATATATACACATACTGAGGTATATGGGTATTGATACTGATACTTCTTTGCGTCTGCCTGTCTGTATGTATGTATGTGTACATACAATATAAATATATCTATGTGTGTGTAATGTATTATACTTTAACATACACGCATCCCTAGATTAAGTAGATTTGTATGGCACGAATCTCTCGCCTTCTTCTTCTTTTGGCACTCTCGATTCTTTCTTTCGTTCTCTCTCGCTCGCCCGTTGCCGGGCGACAGCACCAGCTTTCCATCTGACTCTATGTCTTTCGCTTCCTCCCCTCGCTGCGCTTCCATTCCACGCCTGGGCTGCCACGAGTGCTTCCAGGCATCTGACCTGAGCTCATGGGGTTCGGCGTGCTGGGTGTGGCTGGCACGCAGACATGGATGGCAAAAGGACGTGCGACCTTCACACACCGTCCTCGCCATTCGGAAAGCAGTTCGCAGACTTATCGTGGGCATGAGGACAACGATGAGGAACCACCATCACCGCCACCGGCACCACCATCACAGCAACAACAACATTAACAGCCGAAGCCACGGCAACGACAGCAGAGCCAGCAGTAGCACGACGCCAGCGACAGGTTATCCAGAAACGCTCATTAACACTGCTGAGCGCGCCGCACGCAGGTGTAGCGCCTCTCTTTCAAGAGTCTCAGTGTAGTCACCCTAGTCTGCAGTCGTTGCGATGTCTGAACGCATACATGTACTTGTATGTGTTGCTCCCACCTGTGGTTTTCCATGCTGTGGGTGGCTATCAGATCTGCGGTTGTCCTAGAAATCACCGTGTGGGACCGGGTAAAGCGTCATTCTTATGCATTAGGTCGAAAGATGCGATATAAATATCTAGGCGTGCAAGTGCTGGGACGAGTTTCTTGTTGGAAAGGCAGTGGTCTGCAAGATATGTAACCCTTATACACATGTTCATACTAAGTTTCCGACATGGTGCACCTGGCAAGAATCCTAAAAGCCACACGACCGAGGTTCTTAAGAGTACATAACGGGGCAAGAACCCTAAGACTCTCGCAACAAGAGCACTGATACTAACCATTGGCACATATGCACATGCAGGACTAACATGATCGTAGGCAGACTTTTCCTATCGTAGGCTTCTCTAGACTGTAGACACACACACAGAGTATTCTGTCGAACATGCGGCCTATACAAGATGTGGTCTTCATTGCCGTGCTTCATAGCGGCGGTGTTGGTGGTGGTATGTATGTATAGGCACACATGTTGTGTGTAAACAACTACAGGCAAGAATGGATACATGGAAATACTGACTCGTCTGTGTAGAGTTTGACCCGAAGGCGGCAAAGGGACAGAGGCAGAGTCGCAGGACAGAGTCTACTGGAGCAGTTCTCACCTTCGTCTCCAGCTGTCTGTGAAAGTGCCTGCCATGGCGGCAACGGGCAAAACTGTCGGCTGCCAAGCGAATCTTGGGCTCCAGCAGCTTCACAGCTTGCTCTTGCTGCTTGGAAGCCGAAAGGAGCCTGGAAGCGAACCCCACCGCAGTTCTTGGACCCAAGGTGTGTCAAGGTGAAAGGTCACGATGTTCTAAGCACGTAGCTCCTGGCTCTTCTGAACACGATCCCCGGTCACACCATGGATGGTGGCCTTGATCGATGGCCCCGGTGCACTTCGATGCATACGATAGGTGTGACCCGGTAGGTTCGTGGCTGCTCTCTTCTCGGCTGCATCCCTCACACTGCTCACATACTCCTTCTCCTGCGTGTCTGAGAGCGAGCAGCACAAAACGCTTCTACTGTGAACTCTCGAACTCACAGGGTCGATATGCTGAAAACTTCAGCTATGCATGATTGATCATCAACGCTGGATTCCCACGAGCTCCCGCTGCAGGCTGTTTTCAGCCCACTTCTCAGCCACATCGGCCTAGCACAGCTTCCGCCGTGAGTTTCGGATTAGTTGCGAGGGCCGGGTCCGCTAAGCTGAACAAGAAAATACGAAGGAGTGAAGCTACCATCCCGGCCTCCCACTGCTCCGCGTGGCTACGTGGTTGCAGCCCTCTCGTCTTGCGCCTGCTTGCACAAGCAATGGCTTACATTGCGGGACTGTGCCGACAACGAGCAATGGCCAAGTTGTTGCTCCAACACTGTTTGGCAAAGGATCCTGGCTGTTACATAGGCCTAAATCACTTCGCCTGCAGTTGAAAACTGCAAGTGACGAATCGACCCTTGAAACTCAGAATACTCTTCGAACCTACCGCCTCTGCCCTACGCGCACACTCATGGTGTTAGAACCGCCTATGTTACTGGTCGCAGGTGACACCACTGGAGTTTCGTACTAACTACGGTACTAGCTGGACTTAGTTGAAGCGGTTTTCTGCGACGAACGTAGGATGCGAACAACAGCGCCAGGTTCATGAACTTCCCCTCACGACGAATACGTGGAATAGAAAAACAACCACCCAAACCGAAATAGGCGGCGGCTGCTGTGAGCAGCTTTAAATCCCTAAAATCCCGAAAACGTTAAACCCTAAAGCCTAAAACCCCGGAAATTCTGAAATTCGCTAAACGCCTTCTTTCGGTGCTCAATGGCTGCTTCCCGCAATCTTCGATCCTCCTCATGACGTGAACGTTCCAGAGCCTCGCAGATGGATTCTTCAAAGCTTTATTCTTACTTCTTCATCATCATTATAATATTGCCGATGTTATTGGTATTGCGCTGTTTGCTCTTGCTATATGAAATTTCTTACTCTTTATTCTTATGATTCTTATTGTCATTTTGGTTTTATTGCCGGATCTTTCGGGTTTAAGGTGAAGGTTCTTGGAGGGGATTTATGGAGTTCTAGTTAGGGCTTTGAAGGTTTAGGGCTCAAGGGCTCTGTGGCTGTATTCTTTTGGAGTTTAGGGCTTCGGGGCTTGAAGGGGTTTTGCGGCTTTCGAAGTTGATGGGGGCAGTGGCCGACAAGAGATCTGGAATGGGGGCTCTCAAGACAAGATTAAGATTAAGGGTCCTCTTACAAAAGTGATGCCTTCTTCTGGTGATCCAACAAAGGGGCCGCAATTCAATTCACAGAACCCACCCACCCAGCATTTCTTGGTGCTTTAGGGCTTTTTTCTGGCTTCAACAATCGCCTGGCGGCTCTCCTCCAGGAGTTTGTCCTTCGAAGAGCAGTTTGTTGCTCAAATACCTCGACTGGGAGCTCAGATCTCATGAAATTTCTGCTGGTGCCAGAAAAGTCGCACGACAAACCTTGTATGAGGGTCCCTTGCTTTTTCGAAAAGCCTGCATCACTCAGAATTCACACCGTGTTTGGCCCAACAGAATCATGCCTAAGGCCACGACTCCGAAAGGCTTTGACGCACCGGTCTTCGGCACGACTCACGCCCAATGACTCTTTGGAAATCGTGACATGTGGATTTGAGCCGAAATTTGCCATCAGTGGGTGCATGCTTCACGAAAAAATGCAGCCGGCGAGCGACACTAAGACAGAGGGAGAGCGAGATGCACATTTGCCGCACTGACTGGAGCCCCGCATTGCATCAACAACACACATACCAAAAAATTCTGAAATTTTATTATCGGGAGTATCTTTGGCGAAAGCTGCCAAAAAATCTGAAACTATAATGTCGCGAAGTTTCCCAAATTTTCTGCAATTTTGGTTCCGAGAAGAAGTGTTCCCGATTTTGAAATTGCCGCAATTTTAGTATCGCGGGATAGGCACACAATAAGTCTTCAAAGAAATGCGCGAAAGGACGAGATAAAAGGATAGTCAAAAATGTATATAGAAACGAACGCGAGCAGAACGACATCATTTCATGGTAGAATCTTGATCTTTATATAACGCAGATACGGCAAAAAGTAGTATTACTCAGATCAAGAAAATGTAATAAGAATCTACAATGGATTGGTATAAATATCGAACTAGATAATTCAAATAAATGTAAATCAGAATATCATACTAAACAAATAAGATCGAAAACGAAAAATATTTAGATATGCGAAAGTATATATATATATATATTTGAAATAGATGAATACAACTTATTTTATAGATTGAAATATCGAGCGGTTATAATTCAAGATTCTCTCAATATGTTGAAGACCATTTAGAAGATTCCCAAGAAAAATATACATATTTTCTTATATAAAACTATTTGAAACCAACCAATATTTTTGTTTAATATCTTGATCATGGTTCGAAACCCCAAAGCAAATATTATCATAGATGCCTCGCATCTCGTACGTATATTCACCTAATAAATTATTTTATAAATCTAAAGATTACCTCTAGTGTAGCAGTTTCTTCAAGCCTCAGCAGCACATATACCTACTAAATTCAGTGTCTAATTCCAATGTGTTGTTTTGCCACATGTTAAGTCTTCTTCACGTGAGTCGTGCAGCTTTGACATGACCCCCGTCTACGCATCACCTCTTCAAAGTGAGGCAGCTAAACCAACTTTGACAGCTACACCTAGCTGTAGGTAGAATGAGACGGTGCAGCTGCACGATTGAAGCTTCTTCGAAGCCCAACGTGAGCACTTGCACCGCAATTGGGCTGCGTGCAGCTGAAACTGTGCTGCGCACACACAATACGGACATGAACATGAACGAGCGCAAGGGCGTGACTTCAAGCAACAAGCCTGCTAAGCAACGACGAGCATTGCTTATCATGATGAGGTCTGCTGCAATTGACTATTGACTCTGATAGCCAAGATGGCGTCATGCATATATAATCCCTCAGTTGTGCACCCTAAAGGGAGTCTATGAATTCCGACACAGAGCTTGTTAATTGGTCCACAGCGTTCCAATGTGGATCCAAGTACCTGGCACAATGCTAGAATGGGACCACAACTACAATTCGTCTGCTACTTCACAGGCAAGCTCTCATCTACTGTCGAGCAGCACTAACACACGTGCCAGCAATTACTTTCATCATGCAAAGGCTCACTTGGCTCCGATTCTCCTCTGAGACTTGTAGAAATCCTCGAGCCTCAGTGAAGGCATCGGCGCAGCGCGGTGTTCCTACCGACCTCTCTGTACATTCAACCCTACGACCATGAACAGAATGGAAATGCCTGAGTTGTGTATTGAGAAGGACACTAATTATAGGGGACCACTAGTCCATGAAGCTCCTGCAAATCTAAACCAAACTTACTCCTGGGCTGCTAGGAAGGGGGAAGACCTACCCCCGGTATGTGCTCTAGATGGTCTGACATGAGTGCAAACATGCTCGAGCCAAGGACACCTAGCCACAGCACCTGCTAGATGTGTGTCGTCCGGTATACGGTATATTTCTTTCCGACGATATGGAGATACTGCCAGCGCGCCATGTCGCATGCGAGGGCATAGTAGAACTATGCCCAGGAGCTTTGACGCAGCTATCAGCAGTGAGCTCTGCAGCTGCGGCCAGGCAACGACAATGTCTGGCCCTTTTGACCGGAAGAGGCCCTTAGCAGGATGAACAGCAATCTTCTTCTGCTTGCTATCCCAGCTCTTTCGTTGCCTTTGTTGCTACTGCGGCTGCTTTTCCGGCTGCTGCGGAAAGACTGTTGTCCATGTCTCGCCGTTGTTCATGGCGAAAGCAATCTTTCCCCACTACTTCCGAACGCAGTCGTGCTGCCACGTCTACTTGGTTTTTGTATTATTCGTCTGCATCCTCGTTGACGCGTCAGGTACAAGCAGGATGCCGGACATGTCTGCCAATCGGCCAAAAGTGCCATCAAACTCTTTGGGCCGCACGAGCCGAACTGCGACAGCCTGGAGTGCGCGCCGTCGGCACTATGGAAAGCTGGCTTAGACTTTGAAGGTGGTGTTGGCTGGCTGGAAAGCCGAATTCAACTTCAACCACGCCAGGTCTGCCAGAAGCTGAGGAACTCGTCAAAGCCGGCCTTGCGGCGAGAGGCTGGGAAATCGGTTTTCATCTGCGACGGCGACATTGAGTTCTATTGATCGTGTTGTTCAGGCAGATTGGACAGCCTTGCCAGATCCATCCACGTCAATCTCGTTCCAGAAGTAGCCTGAAAGGAAAGGCTCTCGTCGGATTTGTGCATGGTAGCTGCACACATGCAACTAACATGCACAGCAACGCTGGACCTAGACAGGGGCATAACCACTTCAGCAATCTAACCAGCTCCTCCGGCACTGTTCAACCCATGGCTGCACACGGCTTCGAAAGTTTTGAATACAAAGTCTGCAGCCCGACAGATTTGCGCAGTCCAGTGTGAATCTGGTTCCGACAGACACGGGAAAGATCGAGAGCAGCAAAACAAGCCAAGCTAGAGGAACCTGACCCTCGCAAGCACCTGAACACTAGCGAAGATCGAGGCTCTGGTGTAGAGAGCGTTCCAGCGTTGGGATCCCGACGGATTCGCGACTCTGGCATGTCGAGGTGGGCCGGAACTTTCAAGACCTTGGGGAGGCCACGAGTGTCCTGGTCCTGTGCCTCGAAAGGACCTGTAGATCGTCTGGTGGAGAGCTAGCGTAGGCAAGATCCTGCTGCTGGCATATGTCAGAATTTCGTGCTTTTGCATAAGTCGACAACAGAACAACGGCAGGTGCAATGGCCTCCCGCAGAATGCTCTCGAACTCGTGAATGTCAACCTGCGGTCGTCACATGCTGCGACAGAGACAGGACTGTAAGTGCGAGTGGCCCACATCTACCGTGGCAGAGCGATGCAGAGGGTCAAGGATCACTTTAGCGGAGAGTGGCACTGAAGCTAATTTACAGACGCGAGCTCCTGGCCTAAGGTCACAAGAAGCTGGGCATGCGCAAAGGCATCACACTCGATGCCTCCCCGGATCCATCCACATCGATGGAGTTGAAGGACTTCCTGCTTTTGTGTGTTCATCGTCAGTCACAGAGCCCGCATTCATCTCGACGCGTCAGATTTTTCAGGCAATGCTGGGATGTGTGGGAGTCGTTGAAGACAGTCTGAGCCTACTTGGTCGCAGATTCACCGCTCCCGGCACTGACCCTGCCGAACCGCTTATTGTGGGCAGCCGGCGCCCAAAGTCAACCATGAAAGAAGCATGCTGCGAAGCCGACACCTCCATGCCACGAGTGCTAACCTGCGCCCCAAGGAGACGACCGACGAACATGGCTGCGTTCTACCCAGCAGGCCTCACTCTGTCCATGCAGAGGGCATCCAAATTGTTGGCTTTGGCAAGCAGGCGGAGGCGGATCTCCTTCGGCACAGGGCAGACCACGGATCTCATCTCCCCAATACTGCAATGCAAGCTTCCGGCGAAAAAAAGAGCTTGCGGGTCAGACGGATCGCACTTCAGCGGCTTTTCACAGGAGTCTCATAATCTCAAAGATGTCGCTTCGCAGCTGGCAGTCCCTGTCATCAATCATGAGCTCAGTCAGGAATCCAGTGCACCTGAACTGGCAGCATCGCGTTTTTGAACTGTGTTCGTCGATCCCTGCGCTCTGCAAGGTCAGGCGCATCCAGGGTGCATGCACATCCGTCAGGTTTCAGCCTCAGAAACTCGGCTCGGCACGAGTACCAGATCAAGAAGCTCTCAAAATCCAGCTCGAACACCCCTTCGGGGGCAAACCTTGGTGCTGCCGGAACGACATTCCGAGCAAGATGTCTCACTGCATTCTGCATTGTTGTACCTACATCGCAGAATCTTCAGTTCACCCGCGCGCGGCTGAAAAATTTGAGGACCGGCTTAATCTGCAGACCTCCCATGAGCTATTGAGGAGCTGCTAACTAAAAACATACGTCGTTCTATAACGTCGAGACTTCAATCGATGCGGCGACTCTAAAAAAAGAGGGTGTGTTCGGCGATCAACTGTTAGAAGCGGGCATAAGTGGGCTGAATCATCTACGGGAATTCAAGGCAGGTCGGCTTCGAGATGAAGCGCATGTCGCTTCGCATAGAAGCACATGCTCTCACAGCCAAGGTGCTTGAGCCAGTAGTTGAGCAGCCTCAACACACTTGGTAGCCGGATGTAACTTGTCGAGGCTAAGATCATCTTCATGACTGGTCTCACAGTGGAAAGCCTTCTCATCAGCGAAGCCGTTGCTGAATACTATGTACTGCACCGCACAACATGTTAGAGACGGGTACTGCAGCCTCGCAACCGATTTGTCTGCCCAGATTCGATGCGGTAATTCACGCACTCCTTGTCCGCAATCTGAAATTCCTCGGCTCGGACAGTAGACGTGTAGTGGAAGACTCCTGGAAGCATGCCAGATGAATTTTAAAAGTCGGCCCACCATTAGAGAAGCTTCCATAAGTGTTTGGACGACCTTCGCGATCTCATCGAGGCTGAGCATCCCTGACCCATCAAAGTCGTGATCGTCGAAAATCTCCTGCAGCTCGAGCATGTTGACCGGATGATGAACTCATGTCCAGCATGAAGTCATGATGCATCACGAAAACCGTCGTTGCCAACGCAACTCAGACCAGGTCTACTTCTTGCACGCAACATCGTGCCAACACCCGACATTGCAAGCCTTCGCAACGATGACGCTTTCCACCGTCATGTTCATCTCCCGCGCGAGTTCTTGGCAGCACCGCTAGGAAAAAACATTGATCATGCTATCACCATGCTGCACCCTGAATCGGCGATGCCCGAGGGTTGCCCATTGCAAACTCTGAAGAGAAGTCTGCGAGTTCAAGACTGAACCGAGAAGCTGTGCAACTTCCATCGTGGGATGGAGCCCTCGCCACGGGTCCTCAGTTTTCGGCGCGTGCTATGTAGGCTCTGCTGCTGAACAGGAACATCCCTTCCACACCCAGAGAGTATCTTGCAATCTACAGTAGTATCTGGCACATGTCTGTGAGCATATGCCTGGTACTACAGGTCAGGCCTCAGGAAGAATACACATGTGCGTGCGTGTGTGTGACCCTGCTACGGCAGTTGCATGCAGGGGCTTCACCTGTGCCCTATGCAGGGAAGGCGCTCGTCCAGGCGCAAGGTATTCCCAAACACCTGTGGGGCATGTGAAAGACCTTTACGCAGACTGCAAAGTCAGAGACTTCTGCACTCTGCTGGCCAAATGCACAGAAGGCAGTCTAACTTGTAACCCCCGCACCGCCCTCCACAGAAGAGGAACAGCCAGTGGTCTTTGATCATCAGAAACTGCTGCCCGCGGATGCAAGCTCCACGCAAGCTCTGCAACGCACCCTCTCAACCAGTGTTGTATTGCTTTTCCCGAGCCTTGCTGTCGAAGGTGGATTTCAGCGATTTGGCCATGTCCTGAAACCATGAATAAGAACTATTTTGGTCTGTCTTCTGACAACCTTCTTGAGAGACTAAGGCCCTTAAGGCCAAGTTCTGCGTCCCAGCTGCCGACGTGAGGGGATTGCTTTGCTGGGAAGGAGAACTCCTCAAGGAGCGACCTTGGAAGGCTCTCCAAACACAACTCGGCAGTTCCCAGATCACAAGCTGCACTAGAAAGTCGAGCTGCTGCCACTGAGCGGTCTCACCTGCTGCAAGAAGGACAATGCTGCCAAGGTAGCTGAACTACCGCAGAAGGCCTGCTTTCCTGCATGTTCCCTCGGCTCTAACCCCACCCTGCCTGCAGGCTGGGCGAGTTTCGCGCCTCTCCGGACAGAGCAGCAAAATGGAGTGGTGAATGGATGCACAATGTGTGATGGGTCACCTTTCACCGAACGAAAGACAGCTAGCCACCTGATTCGGGTTCAATAACTTCCATCAAAGGGTCACTAACAGGAATCAAAAACCGCCAAGCACGCCCAAACAACCACCCACATGTCGAACAATCCCTCTTGACCTTGCCATCTTGTACCTCGCACCTTCAGCTTCTTAGTCAGACCTTTCAGCATCCTACGGCCCACGGAGTCTTAAAGACTTGCCCCCGACGAGTCCACCGAGTCCACCCGAAAGCCAGAGCTATTTTCAAAGCCGTCGAAGCCACAAACCCTCCGAAAATCGTGGCTTTCAAGCATGCCATGGCCTGGAAAGTTGAGGAGGATCTCGGGGGCAATGCCTCAGCCTAAGCACTCTGCGAAGCAAGGGCTTGTGACTCACCTGCCGAAAAGCAGCAGCCGTTGGAGTCTTCGTCATCGTCGTCTTTGCCCTTTGGGCTGGCTCCAACGGATCGAAGACGCGAGGTGTGGCGGGGCGAGGCGAAGTGGTTGGAAGGTGACGTGAGGCGAAGTGAGTGAGGTGATGTATGGTACGATGCAGTGAGGTGAAGGGAGGCGAAGTGAGGTGAGACACAGAAGATGTGGGATAGGTTTTGCGATGTGACACGATGAGATCACTGCATGGTGTTTATATATATATATATATATGTATATATATATATATATATATTGACATATATTGACCCGTGCCACAGGAATAATGCTTGCTCCTGCTGCGACAGACTACCATGGCCACGAGGCCTGGCGAGTTTCGAGGATCGATTAGTTCCCTTTGCCCATGGTTTCCAAGGCCACGGCTTCAGTGGACTCCACGTTCAGCACAGGAATGTGTATCTGCCTTGGGAACTGCGCCACGGACTCACTGACAGTGCAGCTCTCCATGCATCGACCGAATCCCGACTATTAGGGTCCAGTATGGCACAGTGTTCCATTGTAGCATGTGGCAGTCAATCTCATACCGGCGGCAGAGGGAGTCATGATTCTTGCACGGATCCTGGGATATCGCCAGCTCACTTGCAACTGCCCAGTCGTGACAACCCTAAAGTTCCGGTCCCAAGCTTTCTCAGAGTTTCTTGGCACTTTGGGCCTCGACAAAAACCACACACCATGGCACTTAAGCAATTCCGCGCTAGTCGCATGTGACACTGCTACCTGGTCCAAACTGCAGCTCCTTCTGAAGTCCTGCCTCTGCCCCGGGCTGAGGAGTCCTGAACCCCTGCACCCTCAACCCAGAAATGCCTGAACCTTAAACCTCAAAACCCTAAACCCTACACCCTAAACCCCCAAATGCCTAGACCGAAAGCATAAACCCTGTACCCTAAACCCGAAACCCCAAAACCCCCAAAACGCCGAAAGCGGCTTTGAGCCTGGAGGAGCTGGGAGCCGGGCTTCGGCAAAGTGGGCGTCCACGGCCGCCAAACGGTGGCCCTGCAAGGCGGCGTCACCAAGAAACAAGAAATCTTGGGTTTAGGGGTTTCGGATTTAGGGGTGGTGCTTGAAGCTAACAGGAAGACAAGGAACCGAACCGCGAACCGTGGAACCGAAAACTTAGCAGCTAAGTTTTGTTTGATTACTCTTTTCCTCCTTGCTACAGTCGGAATACCACTACCTGGAGCAAATGGGCCAGCTATAGAGAGAACCTCTCCTCCATGTTGGCTATTGGTCTAGGATTTAGGGTTGTGGGTTATAGTATTCAAATGTACCATTATAGTAAGGGTATGGGGTTTGTGATTTTAGTAACATTCTAAGTAAGGTCTGGGTGATGCATCATATAATATAATGATTACAAACAATAAGGCCACTGACTTAGGTTTTTCGGGCTTGGGGCTTCTAGGCATCTAGGACGAAACCGCTCATCAAGCGGTCATGATGGCTAGAACTGTAGCTCTGTAGGCGCAAGCCCCACAGATCCATTGCTTCCACTAGAGTGGTGAAGCTGGATCTAAAGGCCCGTCCAATGCCGTCACCATCATAATTCCCGCAGTACTAGCCATCGATGGGCCCAACTGCAACAAGCCAGCGTGTCTCATGTACTTCTACATGCACTAGAAGCCAGGACATCATGTAAGCCCAGCCCACGCGGACCCAGAATATTCCATGTTGATGTAATGCTTCTGCAGCGTGGATCGTCATAATTACGCAGTCATCATGTCTTATACCACAAATCGGAGATTAGAACCCTCCAAATCTGAACTCTTGAAGCCCTAAATCTCGCATCGCCGTACTCACACCTCCTTTACAAAAAAACGCAATGAACCAAAAAAAGAGCCGACAAAACATCGAAGACATCCTCTGAAACCTCATCAGAAGCCTCCTCGACTACACTCCGATGCCTCGCCGCGGCACTTGCCATGGCGGCATCGGCAGCTTGCATTGCCTTCGAGCTCAGGGGGACTGGGCTCGGGCTCAAGGTTCCGAGACGGTTTCGAGGACACAGTCATTCCATCCTGCAGCAGTTTGATATGTGTGTCATCCCCGAGCCTTTCAACATAAAGCTTAATTGTACTGCTTGTTGCTGACAATAGCTTTAGCAACAGAGGAGGATGTGATAACAACTAAGTAACTCATAGAAGCGATGTCTGCAATCAGAAGGAGAACAATGCGTGCGAACAGTGCCGTGCTATTTAACTCCTCTGCTGCATTGGCCCCACATGCTGGATTCGGGGTCCACTTCCACTACTTCGCTGTACGTGCATGCTCATCCAGAATGGGCCCAACACAAGGTCGAAACCATCGACTATCGCCCGAAGGTCCATGATATGAACTTCATGAGTTTGCCAGCCATGGGTTGGATAGTTCAGCTTGTGCCTTGAGCTTCAGTCGCTCTATGTTTCGATTCAGGGCGAAGCACGAACATCTGGGCATCCTAGTGTTAGTAAGTGGCAATGGTCACACTAGTCACACTCGCGGTGGGCCGTCGTGGTCGAAGCTGCGGCCGGGGTGGGCGACTGTGGCACTGCTGCTGGAGGTCGTGCTGGACTAGTCGTGATGTTGTTGGCGCTGGTCCGGGAGGGCTGAATACATGCAGTTAAACTTCTCTCACAATGATCTTCAGAAGCAGCATCAGTAACATTCGGTAACAGTAGCATCAATAATTCGTAAGTAGCCTTGGTAGCCCTAGTCCGATGCCTCTGGCGATGGCGGTGCCTGGTGCCGGCGACCTGCTGAAGCTTGCTCTTCTGGGTCGTCTAAGTTCTGGCACAGGGTCTGCAATCTGAGGTTGTTGGAACTCTTTGAAAAACATCCCCTGATGGTGGTCCGAATGGCAAAGTAGCTAATGGCAAGCTTCAGCAGCAGATGCGCTGCAAGGTGCGATTCGAGACACACCCTGCCATGTCCTTAGCCCTGGTATCTGCTTCAGGAGCTTAAGCTAATTCGGCTACTGGTGAGGGCTTCTTGCAGTGAGAGCGCCGCTACCTGTGATTGTTTGGTCTTGCAGTGTCATCTTCCACTCCCAGATTGGCTGCATGAGGTTCGCCGGAAAATGCCCGGCCTGAACCAGCACGGCAGTTCCAAGGAGGCTGCTGAACCACTTCTGCCCCAAATGGACCTGAGCGCAAGCACAATCGACGACCATCTACCCAGCGAACTGGTGCGCAGAAACATTCCAACTTACTTCCTCGATGGCCTCAAGATAAAATGCAGAAGGGCTTTTGTCTTCGAGAGGACTGAACAGGGAACCGCTGCGGCCCTTGCAATGGTCTCGCTCGGAATGAGCTTGTGTCTGAAGAAACATCTGGGCTCTTGGCTTGGCTGAGGGCGGCAGTTCCTTCTCTTCCAGCTCCCGTCAACAAAGAAGGTATTCCCTCTAGCGATAAAACCGATCGGCGATATGAAACCGACCGTAAGGTTCCCGTCGCAATCGCCGGCACCGTCGCTTCAACGGATCGCATCTCAACGTATCAGTCTGCAATGCTCCCAGTCTAGCGACTCCAGAATCTCAGCCATGCCACAGCCATGACGAGAAGAGCAGCAAGGCAGCGATAGTAACTGATAGTAAGCCTGGTAGTAGAGGGAAGAACTAGCAGAAGCGTATTGCCGACAACGACAAATCAGTAGCCCATAGGTAAGAGCCATGACGACAATGATGACGGCAATACCATGAATGAAGAGCCTCTGTCAGGAAACGGTAACAGGCAACAGGAACACTTGTAAGGGCGGCAACAACAGCGTTGTCAGCAGCAGCAGCGACAGAACCACAATAACACGAGATTATGATACCAGTAGGAACAACTGGTGGCAACCATTGCGACACTACTAGTCGCAGCGGCTTCGGCGATACTGGCTGATAGTATTTGTGACAGCTGCAAAAGCTCAGCAAGATAGAACCGATGGACACACTACCCGTTCGAACAATCGAAAACCCGAAATAGAAGAAAAATAAAGCAAATCGTCCTCGACACCACGGCTCGCGGAAGCGCCGGTGGCCGAGGCATGCCCTGTCTGACAGGGAAAGGCCGCGCTCTGTTTGCAGTGGGGCGGCGGGAAAAAAGCTATGTCCGGGCAGCCTTGAAGAGCTTCAGATGGGCGCTCCGTGCAGCCCGGCACTGGCGCGCACTGCGTGGAGGTGCACCTACAAGTAGGTTGTCTTCCAATGCCCAAATCTAGGGAAACTAGGGATCTAGGTCCTAGGTTTGTCACAAGGAGGTCCAGGTGGAGGCTGCGAGCTGACGGCAAAAGGAGCCTAAATGCCAGGTCTTCTGAGCAACTGGCCGCGAGGTGGAGCTGGGACCCTAGCCTCAGCCAGAGGTTTCCTTAAAGGATATGCCGTACACTTCCGGCTTTTACCCCGGATGCCAGGAGCCCAGAAGAGTGTGGAATCGAACAGCTCCGGGGACCTGGCAGGCCTCGTCTCGCGCGGGGGCCTCCGAAGGATCCTGGCAGAAGACTGCACTGCTCGCCGTCACTCGCCTTTGCTTACACAATCCTCGCTATCACAACTGGTCCCACGCTTGTTCGAGCAAGCTGAGAGGCTCAATGCCTGCCGAGAATTGTCACTGGTACCTGGTACACCCTGTGCAAGCAAAGTAGACGAGATCTGAAACTAACAGGCTGCAGCCGCTTTGGGGTTGCAGAGAGCGGCTCTGCGATGTCGAAGACTTCGGCAATGCCTCGCGATTTCTGTACAAAGCTGACCGGACTGTAGGCCTTCCGGATTGCATCCGAAGAAATATGACCTTGCAGCCTTGTTGCCTGCACCTAGACTGAGACTCTTTACAGGTAGCAGCTGATGAGGTGGCTGAGCTTCGAATGACATGCCACCCAACCTCTGCAGGTCTCGAAGAGCTGCTTGAGATATTCTCCTTTGATTGGAAGCTAGGATTAGGGGGACCCTTGGGGATATAGACCCTCTCAATAAGGTCCCTTTTAAGAGAGCCAAAAGTAAGGTTCAGAAGGGGTACCCTTTAAGGGGTACCCCTAGTAATACTACCTATTGATTGAGTCTCAAGGTTGCTGGCTGCGAGCACTTGGACAGCTCGGAGGCGAGGCAAGACAGTTCAGGGGCCTCTCTGCAGCATTCGTCGCAGCTCAGCCCCTTGCTTGCATGGAGGGCTCTGGACAACCGCTGCTCCGCAGTCGCCATCCGCGACGGAAGTGATTGCTGAACATGGGAAAGCACTGTTGGTTGAATCAGACTACCTGAAAATAGTTGTGCTTCTCTCTACAGTGGAGGTTTGCTGCAGACTCAGAACTGCTCTGATTGATCACTCCAGAGCCTTTGCACCCAATGGCTGTGGTGCGTGTTGTCAGGCGAACAGCTCTCAAGATTGCTGTCACCTTCGAGGCTCTGCACTCCTTCCACTGCATCTGCAGACGCTAGTCATGTCTTGAATAGAGCCTGACACAGCCTATAACGCGATTGAAAATGCCACGTCGACATGTGCTCTCGGATCATTCGGAGAGCAATGATGAAGAAGGGGAGTCAGCACAGTACCTCCTAATCGTCAAAGCTCTGTCAGGATTGTCGCAGTACTGCTTGACTCGGCCCATCCGCCAACACTCCGTAAAAACGATCACAAATGATGCTGGACTCGGCCATCATCGTTCGGACTGCTTTCACAGTTCTCGTGTACTTGCCGCTACTACTCATTACTCTTGCGTCTAAGTATGACGGTAATGACTACGGTAAGGTGCTGGCTTCGCTTATGATGATGTTGGTGATGGATCCTTCATGATGACGACGACGGCCCCTTTTCGACCCACTTCGCGAAGCAGGCCGGCTGAAATGTCATCGAGCAACCTGCCAAAGCTGGCAAGTTGGCCTTTCCTAGCCAATCCCTGCATGGTAAGTAAGGGTCTGGGTGTTTTGAGGCTTCGCACTTGCAAACTACTTGCCGTTGCGATAAGTGTGCCTAATACATGCCCCAGCCATCCCCAGACCCTAGCCCCACAATCAAGAACCTCAAGACAACCAAGCCACCTGCGGAGCGGTGCCCACGCTCCGGCGCTTCGGCACCCACGCAGCGCTGCTGCACAGCCCACCTCTGGCTTCCGAGAACTGTGTCTATGAAAATTGCCTGCACATTGGAGCAAAATCTTTACAACATAACCCTGAACTAGGCAAGCTCACCGCCCCTCAAAGGGGCTTCACCACAGAACGACCCACACAGCTCGAGCTTCAAATCTCCATCTGGTGAACCGAACACTGCATACGACTGACAAGGAGCTAACCAGAGCAATGCAAGCCGTGAGCAACAAGCAGACTCTGATGAATGTTAATCAGCCAGTACAGCATCGAGCCTCGTCAGGTGAAACCTGGTGGTGTGCCATTTCGGATAGCCTCGCTGCAATGAGCATCGAAAAGGTGCGCCGTGCAAAACTTGTGGGGGGCTTTTAGTTCCTTCAGAGTCACCACAGGCAAGAACTGAAACTGTTCAGCTGTTCTGCCGACGACTTCTTTTGTTGCACCACTCACACTGCTATCATGTTGTGGCCCAGCAAGGTGTGTACCGATTTAGCACAGCCCAACCAAACAATTTGCCGGCGAAGATCACCAGTGAAAGACCATACCGGGAGCATGGGGTCTGGAGGTCACAACTGCCGCTCCGTTCGTTCGCCATGCTTGTGAAAATACAGGTCGCAACTGTTGCCGTCAGTCATCACCCACCGGGTGGGCAGTTGGCTCTGCGAGCGAAAATACAGGTCGCAATTCCCAGCTATGTGTTTCCGTACAGAACGTCAGCTTGGAGGCCACAGCGCTCCGGAGCGTTCTGCTACATCTGTACTGGAAAACATGCATTGGGAGGATCCACAGCTCCAGCAGCCTTCGGGGAGACGACCAGCAACAAGCACGCACCACAGCGGGAGACGCGCGCCGCGAGCATCCTGTGAAAATAATACCGCGGTGACCCGATTTGCATGTGCTGTAAATAACAGGACGTGGGCAGCTCCTTCGCGAGGTGCGCCGAACGGCCGCCGAAATCAGTTCTCTTTACACTGGATGCTGCCTGGGGAATCAAGCGTTTAGCCTGCAGAACATGCCGTCTCACGGACAACACAGATCAAACGCTCTAGTCTTCTGAAACTGAGATCTTATGACATAATGACGCTTCTGTTCATGGACTGCTACCCGCAACATCCCGCAACCCTGAGCTTGGTTAATCCTGGGAAGCCTTCAAGGGCATGTCCCACATACATGCTGTCTCAAGGGGGCTATCTTCAGCTATCGACTTGCGACCGAAGCTGATCGACCTCCAACCCACGCTTGCCTTACAGGATGAGGCATGGCATCCAAACCCCGAAACACTGTCTGTCGAGGTCAAGCTGCGCAGCAACACCACCACGCCAAGCACTGTCGCGCTGACAGGCGCGGAGCCTGAGAGTTCGTTTAGGGCTTGTGTCAGCACGGCGCCGTAGGTCCGTTTACTTAGGATGTCTACTGTACTTCAAACATGGCTTGATCAACGTTCGTCGTGTGCAAAGGGCTTGTCAAGAATGCATCATGTTCTTATTACCATGGTCAGATTGCCATTTGCACGATCCGAGAAACGAGGCTACCACCCACATTGTTGTTCAGGGGTCTGGACTCTTAGTTCGGTGGGATCTGCATGCCCTGGCTGTCATGAACCGACACCCACTTCCCCCAACTTCCGTCCGCTGAGAAGAAAAACATTTCCGACACCTCCAAGATCTCAACAGAAACACCCTGAAGGATCATACTTGGAGGCACGGAGCACGGAGTTAAAGGACGCGAGCCCGGGCCGCAGCCGTGCCAAGACCAGGGCGCCCTGGATCTCCAGTGCCCGCCTGAGCCCCAGATGGAAGTAGAGATTAAGAAACCAACTGAGCATGAAGCTTAAGATGACGTGAACTTATCGTTGACACAAGCTCCACCATCACCAACCTCTGTAGCATCACCAACATCGTCGGCAGCAGCAGCAGCAGCGCTGGCCTCCGCATCAGCAGCAGCATCCGCGTCGGCAACACCATCATATTGTCATATTGGCATTCCCTCTCTTCAGCATCATATACCGCCATCATGAACTCATGAAACACTCACAATCACCATGATATTCTTCTTGATTTTAGTGTTCATAATCTCCTTAATGCTCTTCTTCTTCATCTTACTCATCATCACCAGCATGGTCATCGCCCGGTCATACTTCAGCGGCACTTCGACACCTTCACCACCACCGCCACCAGCGTCACCAAGAAGAAGAGGAATCAGAAGAAGCGCAATAAGAAGAACCACAACAAGAACAACAACAAATGTACAAAACAATAACAGCAAAACAGCCGCCACAACAACAGCAACCACCACCACCGTCATCGCCACCTCCACCGCCACCGCCACCGTCACCACCACCAACCACTACTACGACTATTACTACGACTACGACGACTACGACGACGACTACTACCACCACTACCACTACGAC